GTCAGCCGCCACTGGTGTGCTTCAATAAAGGCTTGATTTATTATTGTCTGGAAGACAATTTATGAAACCCCGGGGCAGTGCTTTAACTGTAACACTTCAACTTGGCCATGAATCATCTCTCTGTCTATAATGTCTGCACCCATACACCATACATCACTTCTCCGTTACTCACTAAAGCTGTCTGGCTTATCAGATTGACTGTGGCAGCCTTCAGTGCTGTGCTGAAGGAAACCTCAGGTAGTAGCCTGACAGTATGTCATAGTAGCTGTCATTCGCCCCACTTCATCTCATCATGTAGGCATGGCATCCATGAGTGCAGGGCAATAAGAGGTTTTGAGAGATAGGGTTCACATTTCCATAACTTTTATTGAAGTGTGTTGTTATAATTGTTCTATTTTATCATTAGCTCTTGTTGTTATTGCTCACTGTGCCAATTCATAAATTAAACTGTATCATAGCTATGCACATATAGGAAAAAGCATTGTATATTTAGGGTCTGATGTTGTGGAAGGTTTTAAGAATCCCTTACGGGTCTTGGAATGTATTCTCCATAGATAAAGGGGGACTAGTGTACTCACTCTGTACATGTATACGTACATATAGTGTGTGTGTGTGTGTGTGTATATACATACACACACACACACACACACGCACACACAAATATATTCAATTTTATTTTTCTAGATGACCATTGGTTTGGTTTATATAAAGATAAATTGTGACATTGGCTAAGGAGGTAGAAGCAGATGTGTTGGGAAACATTTTTAATATGCATACCTTCTGAATTTTTAAGCAAGCACGACACAACTAAAGGTTGACATATAAATCTCAGAAATGCAGTTTCCCTGGTCCATAGTCTCAAAATTCCTTTTTGAATTTCACAATTCCATCTGAATACCTTAAAAGAAGAAAATTTAGGAAATATTTCTTTAATTGGAATCTCCCCTGCATCTTTTTAAAAAAACCTATAACTGACAAAAATTGTGTACATTTAAGCTGTACAACATGATATTTTTATATAGCTATACTATAAATGATTGTTATAAATTATTATAACAATTATAATAATTAACATATCTATTACATTGCACAGTTATCTTGCATTAATTATTGTGATTTGGCCAAGGAATGAAATGCCCACCCTCAAAAGTTGACCAAATAAAGTAGCCAAGCTTTAAGTGTTTGAAGAATCAGTTATTTCCCTTATTTTTATATTCTTTTACTAATGAAATATTTCTTAAATTTTCTTTTTTTAAAGGTATTAGATGGAAGTTTGAAATTCTAAACAGGAATTTTGATACTATGAACCAAGCTGCATTTTTGAGATTTATGTATCACCCTTTACTTGTGTTGTGCTTGAATAAAAATTCAGAAGATATGCATATTAAAAAAATTTCCTAATAGTATTACTTCTACCTCTCTAGTCAATGTCATAATAAATTGAAGTACAAGTAAAATTTATGGTGTATCTTGGATTCTTTTAGGAGCTGTAGCAAATTTGGTCAAAGTCAGCCAAATTTTTAAAAAGTAGACACTCTTGAAATGCCAATTGTAAAGATGCTTTACTTTTTTCAAAATCAGAAATAACTAGCATATTTTAGACCTACATCCACGGATGGAAATTTAGTCATCAAAAAAGATGATGATGAGCAATGGAGGCAAGGCAAGTAGGGAAAGAATAGGTCTCAGTGTGGCAGAGACTGTCACCATCGCCTTTCCTGTCTAAATCACAGTCAATCCATCTCCTCTGTTTTGCCTGATGTAGATTCAGAAGTCGTGTTGACAGTGTTCCAGGTAGATGCTAAATTCAATTGTCATTGATAAGATAAAGACTTCTTTTGTTAATTCAGTATTAAATATGGAAGTGTTGGGAGTATTTAAAAACCAATGAGAATCTAATCATGGAAATGGGCTTAAGCTATTGTAATTTCCAAATAACATGATTAAGGGACTGAGTTAGAAGGTGGATCCTCTAAGTATAGAATTGTTTCAGGGATGAATTTGAAGAGGGCTTGGACTCTGTGCTGGAAAGCTGAGCATCCTGTGTTTCCCTGCATGGAATGAAGCTCACAGATATCACATCTGTCATTTACGGCTGTGTGATTTTGCACAAGTCACTATAGATCTGTGAACTTCTCTATCCTTATTTGTAAAATTCCATGATAAAGTTGTGTGGGAATTAAATAAGATAATCAAAATAGTTTTGCAAATTATAAAGTGTTATGGAAATAAGATCAAGAGAAAATTGATTTGTAACAAACACTGAGATAGCTACTTCAAAAGTGGAATGAAATTTCAAGATATATTGGAAGGATAAAAAGCATACTAAAGCCAATTTATAGCAGAATCAATCCTCCAAAATTATAAACCTAATCATAAGTAGGAGAAAATAACAGTGAAGGCAGGAGTGGTTGGGGACCTCTAAGCCTAGATAATCCCAAGGGGAGCTGGGGCTTCATCAGGGTGCTCAGTGGAGTCCCCATGCTTGGAGGAATTAGGCTCTTGTGCTGAGCAGTGGGCAGTGGTGATGGTGTGAGTGGGCAGTGGTGGTGGTGTGAGTGGGCAGTGGAAGCAGAGGCAAGGCTGAGGTCCAGGTGCCTGCTTTGATCCTCACCCTCCAAGAGCAGTGGCAGGTGAGGGAAACCAGACAGACAGGCCCAAACCAGTCCCTCAATACAGAGATGAGCAAACACTTAAGGGAAACCCACTCCTAACAAAGAGGCACTGCAGCCAACAAACAGAACTCTTTGCTCTGGTTAGAAAACAGTTAGAAGGAACTTATTTGTGGAAGAAAGAACAGAGCTCAGAGAAGGATGGCATCTGATGCTAATCCAGACCTGGGTGAGGGCTGCACCATAAGCCGCACACCTTTCTTCTGATGTGTCCTCAGTACTTACCTTTGGTGTTATGGAATATTTTGTCCGAGAGTTGTGAAATAGTTTGGTGTCCAGGGGTCCTTGTGAAACTGACACTGGAGTGGGCAGAGATGCTGCCATGTGGGGGTGGCAGGTAAGCACTGAGCTCCTATATTCTGTGGGCAGCTCCTGAGAAAGCACTAGGCAGAGGTGGTGCCTGCTGAGAAGGTAGCAAAACTTAGATCACCTGACTTTGGATTGTTTTTTAGAAGCCAACTTCCAAATGTGACAAGTGCACACGTTTATCTGAACACTTATCAAGTGTGAAGCGTGGAAGTGTGCGTATGAAAGTCTGTGGGAAAGAGTTCCAGACGTACTTCTACTTATACTACTTCAGTTGCTTCCACAAATCACATAACAGTTAAATAACCACAGTGAATGATAGTGTAATGCAGATGTATGGAGCAGACATGGGGTGCTACAGTATTCGAAAAAGGAGGAGTCGTGAATTGAGAATTTTCCCTGAGAAATTTTCCTGGATGTGATGAACAATATTGACTTTTAAGATTTCCGATTGAATAGCAGAAAAAGTGAGAACATTGAAGCTGGACCCATGCCTTGCAGACTCCACGGATTCTGAAGAGGTGTATGGTTCCTGTGATTAAGGAGAGCTACTGAACTCCAAATCTCCCTATCAGACTTTGGAAACAAAGCAAGAAAGAACCCAAAGTGCAATGGACAGGGAAAGAAACCAATGAGAGCGCCACTCTAAGAGCTTGCCTAGCGGGATCAAGGACCTCTGCCCTTTGTGGCTATCTAACAGCTTTCAAATAGTCTCTGAATTTGATTGTTCCTCTGTTAGGATTCCTACTTGCTACTGGGCTTGGGGTGAGCTGCTTTGTTCCCCCTGTGCTCCCGCCATGATGTGCCATGGGGCCACTGACTGCCAGCTGAAACCTCCAAGACTGTACACCAGAGTAGACCTTTTCTCAGTTGATGATCTCAGGTATCTGTTATAGTAACAGAAAGCTGACTAAAATACTGCCTTTATTAGGTAGAATGTTGCTGGTATGTAACGTAGATTCCACTAATCAGTCCCACACACACACAACTTTGGAATGAGTTATGTGAGGAAACAGTCTGAGTGCAGGTCTCAGTGGCTTGGTTCTGGGATGGATGGAAGAATTACAGTTATGTGGTGAGATTCTTTTTGCAAACTCAGCCATAAGCTTATTTCTCTTGCCCTCGGAGCCAACTAATATCCAGTAAATAATTCCTTGTCTGCTTAAACTAGCCAGAGTGAGTCCTCCTTTTGCAGCTAAGAGGCCTAGCTGACCTTCTATGGCCTAGGTAACCTTTGTAGGCCTTGGCTTTACACTTGCCTTTCATCCCTCCCTGATTATCAGGTGGGTCACATGAAGTCTAAGCAGTACAGGGATCATGTGTAACTCACAATAGAAGCCAAGTAGGGGCCCATGGCCACTCTCTATCTGTCACTGTTTGTTCAGAAGAGATTTCCCTTCCCTGCTCCCAATGAACTCTAGTGGATTCCAGGCTTTTTTCTTATGGAGGTATGGCCATTTTAAGTATTAAACAATCTGTTAATTACTATCACACAGATTTCAATGTGGGACTTAGTGGCATTGTGGCACATTCTCTCTAACTCTTGAAAGCTGTGACGGGGAAGGGGATGAAATTGGTTGCTTCTCTGTCTCCTCATCTCCTCTTCTTCTCCCCGGGAATTGTTGGACAGGGAGTGAAAAATGAATTTTAAAAAACTCTATTAATTGAACTGACCAAAAAAAAAATCAGTTTAAACGCGGTGTACGTTCAAAGCAGAGACTTTCATGAAGGCCTCTTGGACTTCATTCAGTTTCCTTGTCCTGAGCAGACACTTCTGTCATCTAGATGGTCACGTATACCTTTCTGGAAATCCAGCCTTCATCTAGGTTTTGCTGTTGATGTGTGGCTGGCTCTTGCAGTCATATCAGACAAGCACCCAAAGTGACCCTACTCTGGTCTTTCCTGCACATGGTCTCATTCCCATCCCTTCTCCTGACCAACTCCAGCAGTATTTCCTATCAATACACCAGCCTTGCCCGGTTTCTGCCACCTCTGTTTGAATCAAGACAAGATTCTCATCAGAATTTGAACTCTTATCTTTCAACTGCAGTGGTCCATATTAAGATCTTAAATGTTAGCCCCTGGAAGCCAACACTTCTCCTGTGATGAGATTAGACACTGAATAATGTTGATACGGAAATAAAGGACAGGGGTATGTTTTGTTTAAAATAAAATGTTCTGAAAATTCAACAAACTGAACTTAGCACACCTATATGCAACACGCAGTGAGCATGTGTCAGAGAAATGGTGACAAATCACTGCTGGAATGATCTTGTTAGAAGAGTAGATTCTTAAAGAGTGTGTAATGATATTATTAAGAGAAAATAAATCACATTAATTCGATGGAAAATGTCTGGATGAATGATACTGACAGGAAAATATGGGAAATTTTGAAACTGAGAGAAAAGACTATGCCAGGAATTTGGCTTACTGAGGAGGTGGTTTCCTTTATATTTGTTGCACGGCAGTTGCTGATTGGGAGATTGTGTCCTGAGGGTACGCCTCGAGTGATATCTGGAAGTCTCAGTGCTGACTTCAAATGCCGCATCAAGTTTGGCTTGGTTTCTGGTGTCTACAGGAGTTTTGTGCACAGCAGCGAATACTGACAAGACTTTTGCTTCTCTGAATTATCTCAGGAAACACAAAAGCTAAACACTAGGAGTTCTTTAATGGATGAAGTTATTATCCATTGATCAGAGTCTCAGAATCCTGAAACTGGAAAGCAGGAGATTTAAAAGTTGTATCAACCCTTGTTAGATCACAATCTTCATTATTAACTTCTGCTGGAGAGTGGATTTGGAGGGAGAGGCCAGAAGCAAGAAAAGTAAGAAGTCCTGTGAAGAAATAATGCTAAGTTGAATTTACATACCTCTTTAAACTAATTAAAGACACATTTTATTTCATCTTCTATATACAACATGCCTGAAAGATAGGTAAAGAATAGAATTACTTTTGTTTTTCTTAATTTACTTATGAGTCAACAGTAAAGCTTTTAAAGTTCATGCCTCCTAAGTCCACAACATCTGGCAGAGACCTTAAAATAAATACCATGCAAATTAACAAGATTATATATGTAAATCTCCTCCTCCTATAGTCATTATCTCGGTGCCAAAGTTTAAAAGTGAAGCTCAACAAATAGAGTGAAGAGAGTGATTTTATATTGCTAAAAGGCCCAACTAGCACTGAAGACAAATATATTGTACTTTTAGGCACAGATTAACATATAAACAAAATGTAGAAGAGAAAAGTTATCAGAAATTCAGAATATGCTGATAATAGTTTATAGACAGACACTGACATTACAAGCAATCTATGACACAAAGCTTTAAAAAATTCTGAGTCTTGGTTTTCTTATCTATAAAACTGGCTTGATATTTGCTATCAAATTTATTAGGATTGATAGGGCTGCTTTCAAATGTCAGGCACCAAAGACAACAGCTGTTATGAGTTTATGCCCAACATACAGTAGTAGCTTTAAAAACATAGAAATTGTAGTAGCACATAGGAGTAGCTACCTTAAAAGCAGATAATTCACTTTCTTTTAGAGAGTTGTAAAATATACACAAAAACTAGACACAAAATATAAATAAAAGAATAAATTCTCCAGATTATGTTCCCTATTCATAGTGCAATACATTTTTTATTAGAACTGGTGTTGGCCAGGCACTGGATCACCGAGTCCAGTTGCTGCCACTACCTTGAAACACCACATCTCTATTTTATTTTTCTTACTGTTATTGAAAAGTAATAACAAAAACAAATACGTAACAACAAAAGTTTATAGAAAAGGTTAAAAACTACAATGTAGTGCTTGCCTTGTGTATACACGGCCCTAGGTTCAATCCCCAGCACCATAAACAAAACAAAAAAAAAAAACTACAATGCAACCATTAAAATAACACCTAAGTCTATTAGTTAACAACAGACTTTGTTGTTAACAACAAACAAAAATTAGAGCTCATAATACAGTAGCTTTGGGAATGAAGTCAGAGATTCTCAGAGGTCAATTCATAGTTTTCAATGTTTTACTATTAAAAATAATAAGAAGATAAAATCTTTAACTTCTTTAAGGAAGAAAAACAAACCCATTAAAAGTCTTAAGGGTATTATCAGAAATGAAGCAAAGCAAAAGCCTCTAAAATAAATGGTTAAGCAAAATAATATAAAGGTAGAATCAACAAACCCAAGAACCCATAATTGCACTTACAAGATTCTGGAGTCTCTTCAAGCAAAAAGTTGAATTAAAAGGAGGAAAAACAATGTCTGGGTGACTGATTGTTAGCAAGAGCTCCCTGGACAAAGATGAGGAGGCCTCCTGGGAGGTGAGCGGCAGGAGACTCCACAGCCGCTCCTTGTCACAGAGCTTCCTGACTTCTTGCAGATGTGGCTGCCTTTCCCAGGAAGGCACCCAGAGCAGAAAGTTCCCTGTGAGACAGGGACAGAGAAGAGGGGGGCTGCTGCGCCCTGGAGTGAGCCAGTGCCTCCAGGAGAGACGACCTACTGGGGCTTTTCCACTTCTTCTCTGGCAGCCGTGAAAGTCTGGCTCACAGGACACCCACAGCCTCCTTCTGGGGGGAGAGAGGAGAGGTGCTGAGCACGGGGCACAGGAGAGGCTTCACACCAGCTGCTGTCAGAGGCTGTCATTGCTGCAAGGTGCAGGACTCCCTGCGTCATGCTTCATAAGTTAGGAAGCCCCGTGAGATGAGGGACTAGACAGGGTTGCCAAGTCCAGCAGGAGTTTCACATGCTGGTGTTGGCCAGGCACTGGATCGCCGAGTCCAGTTGCTGCCACTACCTTGAAACACCACATCTCAGGATCACATCACGTCCTTACTGCCCAGATGAAACTGTGACAGGAAGATGGCCTCATCTCACAGCTGGCCTCCGTGTGTCATGAGAGAGCCCTGGAAGGGCCTATGTCACATCCAGGTCGGGCAAGGAGAAACCGTCTGGGGAGTGGAGTCCATAGCATTAAGATTAGCAACATGAAAAAAATATATATAAATAAAAAATATAGAAGGGGCTAGAAATAGCTGCCAAGTGCTTATGGCCACATTCAATTCAGTGTGCTAGACATAGAGATTTCCTTTTATTTACTGTGGGCTTCCTGAATCCTAGAGTAGTTGTCCTTTATGGATCTCAGCCATTATCCACTCAAATGGTGCCTGTCTGAGTTCTCTCTTTCTCTTAGCTTTTGGTCTCTGAAAATTCATCATTCCTAATTTCTCAGTGACTTTCTAAAAAGAGCTTTTGGTGGGGCTGGAGTTGTGGCTCAGTAGTAGAGCGCTTGCCTGGCATGTGTGAGGCCCTGGGTTCAATCCTCAGTGCTTCATATAAATAAATAAATAAATAAAATAAAAGCTCTATTGACAACTAAAAAATATTTTTTTTTTTAAAAAAAGAGCTTTTGGGGGGACATGTCATCCAAATATTATTTTTTATACCCTTTCAACTGGACTCTACCAAGTGATATAAGAAGCCTGCCTGGCTCAGCAAGCACACAGATGATTCAGAGTCCTCTTCCCAGGGGTGCTAGGTGTGAGCCATTGGTAAGAAACAGCAAGCAAAGTCTGAGAAGGAAGCAGTGAGCACACTAACTTGCAGCAGTTACACAGCCAACAAATGATTTTAGTCCTCAGGTGGCCAATCTGGAAAGAGGTGCACAAGCAGTTTCCAACAAGAGTCTTTTAAATCCAGATACCCCCGTAGCAGTTCCCACATGTGCAATTGAAAACAGTTTTCCTCACTCTAGGAAGGAAGCTAGTCCGACCCAAATCCCTCACACACAACCTCTCACATACAGCCAGGAGTACACATGGCAGTAAAGGGTCTCTTGGGAGCAGAATCCACCTGGAAAGAAATACAGGTTGTTACATATTCATTTTCCTTCTGCAAACTGTCCCTTGGATGCCAATGTAGGCTAGCTATGTTTGGAAGGCAAGAAAGAATCTCAGGAATTAAATTAGAACACTGATGGCAGAAAAGGGTCTTCTTGGGAGCAGAACCTCTTTCCCCCTGGGGATTAGGAATAAGTGTATCCTACTAGGTTCTGCCCATCTGATGAAAAAGCAGCAGGACACGTGACTCGTGGCCCCAAACTGAGATTGGGACCCACGTCCTTGCTGCTCTGAGCTTTAATCTTCTGTGAAGCATAGACATGCCCAAGGGAAACACATTCAAGTTTACCAGCTGATGCAAGTTCCTGCTCCAATTTGTTGCTTTCAGTTATTATGTGCTTATTAAAATACATCTGATTCTGCCAATATCCTGCTTAAAATTCTTCAATGAATCCTTTGTGCCATATAAGAGCACTGGGGATTGTAAACACTGGCTACTTCCCCACTCCATTATTCAAAATATTTTGGTTTTCCCTGGTCATAGCTTGAGTCTCACACTGAATCAATGAGTTTTCTGTCCAAGGACTTCTGGGCGTGAGGAGACATGAACACATCAGTCAGTCAGTCCATCTCTGAGGGTAGAAGCTGTAAGAGGTCAAACTCAAGAACTGCTGGGGACCATGGTTTATCCAAATACGGAGAGAACTGCTCAGCAATGGGAGAGGATGACTGCTCATATGCACAAACAAAACAGGCTGAAGGAGAGTCCTGGCAGCCTTACGCCTCCATTTCAGCTGGCTTTCATCATATTGTTGACCTGGCTATCTCTGCATCCTTGGAAGATGAATGTGAAACGTTACACAGAAATTAGGAAATGACATGCCACAGAGAGCACTGTAGGAGCACACCCTTCAGGGTGGTCTGTCCTCACAGCTGACCAGAGGCTGAAGATCTCCATTTACTTCCAGGTTGTTCCTGACTCATGAAAAAAACCTGAAAACAGTCTTTAAGTTCTTCTTCTTTTTTTTTTTTTTTTTTTAACTTTTTCAAGCTAAATCTTTCCAGCAGTATGAGATGATCCCGAGCTTCTTGAAAATATCTGATAATTTGATTTTGAAAAACGTAATACATTTGGAACATTCAGTGGAAAGAAATACAGGTTGCTACATATTCATTTTCCTTCTGCAGACTGTCTCTTGGGTGCCAATGTAGGCTAGCTATGTTTGGAATGCAGGAAAGAATCTCAGGAATTACGTTAGAACACTGATTTTCTGTAAAGCATTCCGTTTAGGCTTCAAGATTGAGCAAGCTTGTGCTGTTTGAAGTTGGTGAGTGGAAACTTACACTAAGAAATTTCCCTTTCATTGTTAGCACAAGTCAATACCTGGGAAGCCGCCTGGGAAAAGGCGCAGCGGGTGTGCCTCTGAGGAGTGCTTCCTTTTCACTCCTAAGAGCCTGGCGCAGCTCTCAGCTGTGTTAGGCAGTGGCTGAGGAATCCACAGGCCCCCAAACAGGGCCAGGAACCTATGGCTAGCACCGTTATCAGCCCATTCTGGTACTTGATTTTTCCAAAAAGAATCAGAACACAACTGCACAGGAGCAAGGTTTTCCCTTCGTAGGCTCCAGCACAAGTAAGAGTTCCCAGGCTGGCTCAAACAAGATGCAAGAAGCAAGAAGCACAACGTTTCGTTTCTTTTGTTCCTAAGGTGAGGAAGGTCCTGTCTCCTGATGTCACCTCATGCAGAGGGTGCTCTCCATCATGGGTCCTCAGGCAAAGCATGTCTCATTATCATCTTACGTCTTCTCCTTGGGTATGGTTTTTACTATGCCAAGAAAGCAAAGGTTATTGTAGGTTACTTTAGTGACTAATATGAGCTTGCATTTGTCCCCAACCCCCAACTCAGAAAAGCCCCTAAGGTCTTTTTTTTTTTAATTTTTAATTTTTTATTGTGGGTTGTTCAAAACATTACAAATTTCTTGACATATCATATTCCACACTTTGATTCAAGTGGGTTATGAACTCCCACCTTCACCCCATACACAGATTGCAGAATCACATCAGTTACACATCCATTGATTTACAAATTGCCATACTAGTGTCTGTTGTGCTCCGCTGCCTTTCCCATCCTCCCCCCTCCCCCCTCCCCACCTCTCCCCTCCCCTCCCATCCTCTCTCTCTACCCCCTCCACTGTATAACCCTGAGGGTCTCCTTCCATTACCATGCAATTTCCCTTCTCTCTCCCTTTCCCTCCCACCTCTCATCCCTGTTAAATGTTAATCTTCTTCTCCTGTTCTTCGTCCCTACTCTGTTCTTAGTTACTTTCCTTATATCAAAGAAGACATTTGGCATTTGTTTTTTAGGGATTGGCTAGCTTCACTTAGCATAATCTGCTCTAATGCCATCCATTTCCCTGTAAATTCTATGATTTTGTCATTTTTTAATGCAGAGTAATACTCCATTGTGTATAAATGCCACATTTTTTTTATCCATTCGTCTATTGAAGGGCATCTAGGTTGGTTCCACAGTCTTGCTATTGTGAACTGTGCTGCTATGAACATCGATGTAGCAGTGTCCCTGTAGCATGCTCTTTTTAGGTCTTTAGGGAATAGACCAAGAAGGGGAATAGCTGGGTCAAATGGTGGCTCCATTCCCAGCTTTCCAAGAAATCTCCATACTGCTTTCCAAATTGGCTGCACCAATTTGCAGTCCCACCAGCAATGAACAAGTGTACCCTTTTCCCCACATCCTCGCCAGCACTTGTTGTTGTTTGACTTCATAATGGCTGCCAATCTTACTGGAGTGAGATGGTATCTTAGGGTGGTTTTGATTTGCATTTCTCTGACTGCTAGAGATGGTGAGCATTTTTTCATGTACTTGTTGATTGACTGTATGTCCTCCTCTGAGAAGTGTCTGTTCAGGTCCTTGGCCCATTTGTTGATTGGGTTGTTTGTCCTCTTATTGTCTAATTTTTTGAGTTCTTTGTATACTCTGGATATTAGGGCTCTATCTGAAGTGTGAGGAGTAAAGATTTGTTCCCAGGGTGTAGGCTCCCTATTTACCTCTCTTATTGTTTCTTTTGCTGAGAAAAAACTTTTTAGTTTGAGTAAGTCCCATTTGTTGATTCTAGTTATTAACTTTTGTGCTGTGGGTGTCCTATTGAGGAATTTGGAGCCCGACCCCACCGAATGTAGATCGTAGCCAACTTTTTCTTCTATCAGACGGCGTGTCTCTGATTTGATATCAAGCTCCTTGATCCATTTTGAATTCACTTTTGTGCATGGCGAGAGAAAGGGATTCAGTTTCATTTTGTTGCATATGGATTTCCAGTTTTCCCAGCACCATTTGTTGAAGATGCTATCCTTCCTCCATTGCATGCTTTTAGCCCCTTTATCAAATATAAGATAGTTGTAGTTTTGTGGATTGGTTTCTGTGTCCTCTATTCTGTACCATTGGTCCACCCGCCTGTTTTGGTACCAGTACCATGCTGTTTTTGTTACTATTGCTCTGTAGTATAGTTTGAAGTCTGGTATCGCTATACCACCTGATTCACACTTCCTGCTTAGCATTGTTTTTGCTATTCTGGGTCTTTTATTTTTCCATATGAATTTCATGATTGCTTTCTCTATTTCTACAAGAAATGCCGTTGGGATTTTGATTGGCATTGCATTAAACCTATAGAGAACTTTTGGTAATATCGCCATTTTGATGATGTTAGTTCTGCCTATCCATGAACAGGGTATATTTTTCCATCCTCTAAGATCTTCTTCTATTTCTCTCTTTAGGGTTCTGTAGTTTTCATTGTATAAGTCTTTCACCTCTTTTGTTAGGTTGATTCCCAAGTATTTTATTTTTTTTGAAGATATTTTGAATGGAGTGGTTGTCCTCACTTCCATTTCAGAGGATTTGTCGCTGATATACAGGAATGCCTTTGATTTATGCGTGTTGATTTTATATCCTGCCACTTTGCTGAATTCATTTATTAGCTCTAATAGTTTCTTTGTAGAGCCTTTTGGGTCTGCTAGGTATAGAATCATATCATCTGCAAATGGTGATAATTTAAGTTCTTCTTTTCCTATTTTTATGCCTTTAATTTCTTTCGTCTGTCTAATTGCTCTGGCCAGTGTTTCGAGAACTATGTTGAAGAGAAGTGGAGAGAGAGGGCATCCCTGTCTTGTTCCAGATTTTAGAGGGAATGCCTTCAGTTTTTCTCCATTCAGAATGATGCTAGCCTGAGGCTTAGCATAGATTGCTTTTACAATATTGAGGTATGTTCCTGTTATCCCTAGTTTTTCTAGAGTTTTGAACATAAAGGGATGCTGTACTTTGTCGAATGCTTTTTCCGCATCTATCGAGATGATCATATGGTTCTTATTTTTAAGTCTATTGATGTGGTGAATAACATTTATTGATTTCCGTATATTGAACCAGCCTTGCATCCCAGGGATGAATCCTACTTGATCATGGTGTACAATCTTTTTGATATGTTTTTGTATCCGATTCGCTAGAATTTTATTGAGGATTTTTGCATCTAGGTTCATTAGAGATATTGGTCTGTAGTTTTCTTTCTTTGAATTTCTTTGTCTGGTTTAGGAATCAGGGTGATGTTGGCCTCATAGAATGAATTTGGAAGTTCTCCCTCCTTTTCTATTTCCTGAAGTAGCTTGAAAAGTATTGGTATTAGTTCTTCTTTACAGGTTTTGTAAAATTCTGCTGTATACCCATCCGGACCTGGGCTTTTCTTAGTTGGTAGTCTTTTTATGGTTTCTTCTATTTCCTCAATTGATATTGGTCTATTTAGGTTTTCTATATCCTCCTGACTCAATCTGGGCAGATCATATGACTTAAGAAATTTATCTATGCCTTCACTATCTTCTAATTTATTGGAGTATAAGGATTCAAAATAGTTTTTGATTATCTTCTGTATTTCTGAAGTGTCTGTTGTGATATTGCCTTTTTCATCCCGTATGCTAGTAATTTGAGTTCTCTCTCTTCTTCTCTTCGCTAGCATCGCTAAGGGTCTGTCGATTTTGTTTATTTTTTCAAAGAACCAACTTTTAGTTTTGTCAATTTTTTCAATTGTTTCTTTTGTTTCGATTTCATTAATTTCAGCTCTGATTTTAATTATTTCTTGCCTTCTACTTCTTTTGCTGTTGTTTTGCTCTTCTTTTTCAAGGATTTTGAGATGAAGTATGAGATCATTTATTTGTTGGTTTTTTCTTTTTTTAAGGAATGAACTCCAAGCAATGAATTTTCCTCTTAGAACTGCTTTCAATGTGTCCCATAGATTCCGATATGTTGTGTCTGTGTTTTCATTTATCTCTAAGAATTTTTTAATTTCCTCCTTGATGTCTTCTATAACCCATTGATCATTCAGTAACCTATTGTTCATTCTCCAAGTGATGTATGCTTTTTCCTTCCTTCTTTTATCGTTGATTTTCAGTTTCATTCCATTATGATCAGATAAGATGCATGGTATTATCTCTACTCCTTTATATTGTCTAAGAGTTGCCCTGTGACATAATATATGATCTATTTTTGAGAAGGATCCATGTGCTGCTGAGAAAAAAGTGTAACTGCTTGATGTTGGGTGGTATACTCTATATATGTCAATTAGGTCTAGGTTATTAATAGTGTTATTGAGTTCTATAGTTTCCTTATTCAACTTTTGTTTGGAAGATCTGTCCAGTGGCGAGAGAGGTGTGTTGAAGTCTCCCATGATAATGGTATGGTGGTCTATTAGACTCTTGAACTTGAGAAGAGTTTGACGAACATAGCTGCACCATTGTTTGGGGCATAAATATTTATGATTGTTATGTCTTGTTGGTGTATGGTTCCCTTAAGCAGTATGTAGTGTCCCTCTTTATCCCTTTTGATTAACTTTGGCTTGAAATCTACTTTATTTGATATGAGTATGGACACTCCTGCTTGTTTCCGAAGTCCATATGAGTGATATGATTTTTCCCAACCTTTCACCTTCAGCCTATGTATGTCTTTTCCTATCAAATGCGTCTCCTGTAGGCAGCATATTGTTGGGTCTTGTTTTGTGATCCATTCTACTAGCCTGTGTCTCTTAATTGGTGAGTTTAAGCCATTAACATTTAGGGTTATTATTGAGATATGGGTTGTTCTTCCAGCCATATTTGTTTATTTCTGTTACTAAACATGGTTTGTTTTCCTCTTTGATTATTTTCCCCCCCTTTACTGTCCTACCTCCCACTGTTGGTTTTCATTGTTATTTTCCATTACCTCTTCCTGTAGTGCTTTGGCGAGGATGTTTTGAAGAGATGGTTTTCTAGCTGCGAATTCTTTAAACTTTTGTTTATCGTGGAAGGTTTTAATTTCATCTTCCATCCTGAAGCTTAATTTTGCTGGATACACAATTCTTGGTTGGAACCCATTTTCTTTCAGTGTTTGAAATATGTTATTCCAGGATCTTCTAGCTTTCAGAGTCTGTGTTGAAAGATCAGCTGTTATCCTGATTGGCTTACCCCTAAATGTAATCTGCTTCCTTTCTCTTGTAGCTTTTAAAATTCTC